TTACAACTCTTCAGGGTCACGTCGTCTATTGTGAGCAGCATGGAGACGACGCGGTGTCACAACTCTTCAGGGTCATCCAGAGATGACGCGGTGTTACAACTCCTCAGGGTCTTCCGGAGACAATGCAGTGTTACAACTCTTCAGGGTCTTCCGGAGATGATGCAGTGTTACAACTCTTCTGGGTCTTCTGGGTCGTCTGGGGATTGTGGGCCAGGCATCGTGGTTATATACATGCTGGTGGGCTGTGATTGGTTGTTAAAGGTGGGTTATGATTGGTTACTTTTGGACCAATCATGAGGTGCTGGATATGCAAATCTGAGGGATTCTAGTGGCCAATCAGAGCAAGTTTTGAAAGTGAGGTTTTTGAAGGGGAGCCAGTCATGGCCTTTGGCATTGTATAATTGTTTGCTTTCTGAGAAACTGGAACCTAATGACCTCAGCAGACTCGCTGGTGCACAGCCTCCCACAATTTCTCATTTTCTATCTCTCTGGCTCTGTCTTTCTGGCAAGCACACATGCCCTATAGCAAAAAACTCTCTAAACAAGACAAAACAAAACAAAATAGTCATAATTTTATAAGCAAAGTGGCATACATTAGAGTTTCTCAGTGATGCATTAATATCACTTACAATGTGATCCACTTTTAGTTTCGGAAAGCACACACAAAACTATGATAAATAATAGTTGGTACGGATATTCAGTTTCTTATGATTTCATATACCGCTAATCCCACTTATTAATTCCATGCAAACATACCAAACCAAACTGAGAAAACACAAATCACTTAAACTAATCATTCTAGTATATATAAAAGGGTTGTTTAGGGGTCAGAAGGTGGCTAGCTGGTAAAGGTGCTGAACTCCCACATGGCCTACTGCAGTTTGAGTCCTGGACCCAGTAGCCTGAAACTCATACCACGTGCTGGTGTGTGCTTATGCCAAATCCTCAGAGAATGGAGAAGGAATGATGGTGTGGCCATCCCGCCCAGGGGGATGGGAGAGTGTGTGGGGGGGTGAGTTCTCACTTTCTCTCTCTTGGTGTCTCTGACCAGCACATGGAAAGATAACTTCTCATTAAAAAAAAAAAAAAAAGGGACCAGCATGTGGCATGATGGTTAAGGTGCTGGACACTCTCACATGGCCAACCAGGGTTCAAGTCCTGAATCTGGTGGCTTGCTTTCTCACTTCCTCTCTCTCTCACTCTCACCCTCTGTCTCTCTCTGGTCAAACTAAAAAAATAAAATGAATGAATAAATAAAATAAAATAAATAATTATTTTTAAAAAAAAGAAAAAAGAAAGTTAAATTCACCAATTACCAAGCACCTCCCCCCCCCCGCCAGGGAATTTACCAAGGAAAAATGCAAGCAAGCCAGATTTATTCATAATATATAAAACCTAGAAATGTGCCAAATGTTCGTCAAGGAAAAAAAAATTACAAACTGACATTCTCATAATGGATTGTTGTTCAGAAATTTTAAAAAATGAACTACACATTAACAAATCTCAAAGACATTACGATGAGCTAAAGGAGACAAAGAATTCTAGAACCGATAAAATGGATTTTGGTGACAAAAAAAACCATGGTTGTATCGACAGGTGGACTGAAGGTCTTCCTGGCCCTGATGGCATAAAACACGCACAAGGCAAACGCGCGCGCTACGGTGCCCACGCAGTGTCCGCAAGCTTTCTCATCTGGAAAAAAAACAAAAATCCCCGGTCACACTCAGGTTCCCGATCACAGGCCACACACCCTGGGGTCCCTCCCTTTCAGGCCGGCCTGGAGCGTCGCCTCACCAGGCCCTGTTCCCCAGTTCTTGCCTCCCACTTCTCCAGCCGGATATCCAGTACGGGCTTCAGGCCTTCTCAGCTGCCGTCCTGGTTTCCTCTTCGCGCTCTTCACAGGAGTCCGCGAGTCCCTTCTGCCCCCAGAGCTCCCCGGGTTGGCTCCCCGGTTTTCTCCAGAACAGGGTGTGCGGGTAAGCAAGGCTTCCGGTTCCCTTCTGGGCCCTCCGTGGGCCGGGTTTCGATCACTTCCTCCTCCTGATTCCTTCCCGGACTTGAGCTCGCTTCCAGAGGCTCTCACCCGCCTTTTCTGGGCCTGGAAGATCCGCCATCTGCAACCGCCCACGACAGGCGGTTTATGCACGGGCGACTCCCCGGAGTTTCTCAGTGTGCCATGGACTTGCTGGCCGCAGGGCTCCGTTGAGCAACCAGCCCTGTCCCGAGGAGAACTACGTTTCCCACAGGCCCAGGGACAGTGACCGATCTTCGACCTCTGGTTTCCGTTCCGGTGCTGTGGTTAATGAGCTTCGCCTGGTGAGTGGAGATGGCCCACGTGGGGCCGCGGGAGGAGCTCGTGGTGAGCTGGCTGCCCTCTCTGTGGGCGTGGGTGGACTTCGTGGAACCAGGAGCCTTGAGCCAAGGTGTGCCCGAGCTGCGGGCGACGATGACAGTGGGGGCGTTTGTTTGCAATGGCGTCACTGTGGAGGGAGGAAGGCGCTGAGTGTATTTATGTGTCTTAACTGGGACTGTGAGTAGCCCCATGCCCCTGGTTCTGCTTGTGACAGACGTAAATTGTCAAAGACGTAAGATGTTTTATTTATTTTTTTTTTTCATTTTTTTAAGGGAGATTTTTGCTGTAGGGTGTGTGCGCTCGCTGGAAACAGAGCGACAGAGAGACAGAAAGAGAGAAATCACCCTCCCCAGGGTGATGGCCAGCCTCAATCCCTTCTCCATTTTCCTCTCTGGATCTTGGGCATGCAGGGACACGCACCTGGGATGAGCTTTAAGCCTCTATCTCCAGGACTCGAACCGCATGGACTACTTGGGAGCCCACCCACATAACCATCGTGCCATCCTCCAGTCCCTGTTTTTCAGCTTTTTAATGAGTCTGTAAGAGTTTCATTGTGTTTTGGAAAAAGTGTCATTTCTCTAATTCTATGTTATATGTATCTTTATTTCTCCTCAATGAGACTCCCAGTGCATTGAAGCTTGATCTGTGTTGTCTTTATCTGGGCATTTTGTCCCTAGTGCTTAACACAGAGGGACACTGATGAAGTGACTGTCAGGGTTCAGTTTTAGGTACCTGGTTTCTTGGAACACGTTTGTCTTGATACGCTACTTATGTCTCCACATACTATAGTCAGTTGGATCCAACTGTATAGAAAAATGGTCCTCAAAAGAAAAGTCATGGGACCAACTAGGTTATGTGGTGGTTAAAGTGAATGGATCCCACATGGCTGACTGCAAGGTTCCAGTTCTGGACCCTGCCCTTGAGAAAAAGGGAGGCCAAATGCATGTGGTACCCAAAATTGAATGGGAGAATGGAGCAGAAGGAGTTATGGCATGGCCATTACCTCTGGGGGTGATTTCCCACGTTTTTTTTCCAGCAAATGCTGGAAAAAACTAGCTACAGGGCACGTGTGCTTGCCAGAGGCAGAGAGACAGAAAGTGAGAAATCATCCCCCAACCCCCCAGGGGGATGGCCAAAAAGTTCCAAGCAGAACTAGGAAGAAAAAAAAAAAAAAGGAGAGAAGTCATGAATTTTAGCCCTAGGATGAAAATTCAAAGCAGAAAAGTACACCACAAGTCATGGGATGAAATTATACTTGTTTCCTAGACAGGCTTGTGGGAATAAATGAAGGGGAAAGCATGGGTACAGAACTCCTTCCTTGGGAGAACCACTCTTGGAAGCATTTTTTTTTTTTTTTTTTGGAGAGGTCTTTTTTTTTGCTATAGGGCCTCTGCGCTCGCCAGACAGAGACAGAAAGCGAGAAATCACCCCCCAGGGGAGATGGTCACGCAGCAATCCCTTCTCCTCCATTCTCCTCTTGGGATCTTGGGCACGCATGCACACGTGCCCGGCGTGAGTTTTAAGCCACCGGGTCCAGGACGTGAACTGTGGTTGACTACGTGGGAGTCCAGCGACATAGCCATTACGCTAACTGCTGGTTCCCTCTTGGAAGCATTTTAAAACAGCAGTATTTCCTAAATTGTGCCTCTTTTTTTTGGAGAGGTTTTCACTATAGGGCGCTTGCGCGTGCCAGACAGACAGAGAGAGACATAGAGACAGAAAGCGAGAAATCACCCCCCAGGGGGGATGGTCACGCCGCAATCCCTTCTCCATTCTCCTCTAGGGATCTTGGGCACCCACGCACATGCGCCTGACTTGAGTTCTAAGCCACTGGGTCCCGGACACCAACCGCAGTCGACTACTTGGAGTCCAGCGACTTAGCCATTACGCTAACTGCTGGTTCCTGAATTGTGCCTCTTTGAAACTGCTGTGAAGTTATGAGTCCAACTCTAGGCACTGGTGGTAGTTTTTTTATTGGTATGGGAAAGAATCATCAGAATTCTAGTTTCCCTCTTACCTTCATTCGAGTGCTGTGTGTGATAGGGCTTGTCTGGTAGTGTATAATGCCTCCTTATTTAGCCAGTTTAGAACCTGATGAGTCTCTTCTTGATTCTGAAGTTCTGCAAGAGAAGCCCCCCCCCCCAAAGTGGAAGAGAGTGTTGCTGCTTATTTTAAGGCCAACCCAAGGTCAGTTTGTGTTTATTGTTTTTTGGTTCTGTCAAATACGTTTGTGTTTTGTAGAACACATAATCTCAGCTTTCTGTCTCTTAAATTGTCCTGATTGTGACCTATCCTTGTATATGATCTCTAGGCCATCCCTTCCCAATTAATAACAGAATCATAGAGATGGGTCCCTTCCAGTGCCTTTCCAAATGCCCTTTTCCTTTTCAGTTCTTATTCACATACTCACTGGATAAATGATTTAATTCTACATGTGCTCCTTTCTTCTGAAAGTATTCTGATGGTATAAAAATAAAATTCGTGGAAGATAAATTAAAACTTTGTCTTAGAATATGATTTGTTAAGAGAGAGACCAGTGGTTAGGTGGACTAACACCAAATATTTTTAATCTTGTTCACAAATTAGATTTTTAAACAAAGCAAGGTAGGAGATGGTTCAATTGATTTCAGTCAGTGACAAAGTTGGCTTTGGAGATATAGGAATGGGAATATGATTGGAGTTTTATTAATAGAAGTCTATGTTAACACGGGTAGGGAGTTTTTCCAGAGTATCCATGAGGAGATTTGAATGGTATCAACCAACAGTTGTTTGTGATTCTGCACAGTGTGATTTTGTTTCAGTTCACCTATGGGGATAAAGCAGTACAAAGCAGCACAGTCTAAAGCAGCACAGGCTAATGCAAATATAAGTGAACATATGTATAATTACACAAGTGGTTCATTTAGTAGAACTTTCTACTAAACATATTTTAAAAAGTAAAAGAAACAGCTGAAATTAGTTTTGATGATATATTTCATTTAAACCAATATAGCCAAAATACCATTTCAACGTGTAATACAAACACATTTAATATAAACACATGTAATATAAGCACTTTTATATTCCTTTCATCATACTACATTTTCATATTTAGCACACGTTTTACTATTGGACTTTTCAGTTTGGCAGCTAAATTTTCAGTTGTTAAGGTGAAATACAATCCCACCAAAATAAAGCTATCTTATTATGAACACATTTACATTTATTTTATATTTACATTTAAATTAATTAAAATTAAATTAGAGGAACCAGCAGATGGCATAATGGTTACATTACTGGACTCCCACATAGTCGACTGTAGTTCAAGTCCCAGACCTAGCAGCTTAAAACTTAACAAGTCCCATACACACTGGGCATGTGTGTATGCATGCCCAGAATCCCAAGAGGAGAATGGAAGAAAAGGGACTATGGCATGGTCTTCTCCTCTGGGGGGTGATTTCTTGCTGTCTCTCCAGTGAGTGCATGTGCCCTGTAGTAAAAATCTCTCTTACAAAATTAAATTAGAAATTTAGTTTCTGTTTACTCTCCCTATATTTCAAAAAGATCAATATTTACTAATCTTTCTGTTTTATACTTTTTATTATAAAATGTAGATAGTATGTCTCTGCCTGAGTTTTTTTTTTTTTACAAAGGTTAAATATAAAATATAATATGGGCATAGCCCTAGAGCTCTTAATAATGACTTGTCACTTAAGCCCTCATCCTCAAGAGGGATTTAAAAAAAAAAAAAAAAAAGCTGGTATGTGAAGATTCTAGGTATTTCCATAATTTTTTTTTATAAATCAAAAACAATGAAAACATAAAATTAATTTTGATGGGTACTTCAAAGCCAGATTTGCAAATTTTAAGGTGGTTTGACTCCATTTTGGTGCTCACAAGGGGCTATAATCCTCTTGAAGTTCGTATTCAAAATTATTAATATACTTTATAATGTTTTCTTTCTCCTAGAATGTCTGTAACTTCATGCATTTAAGTAAACTTAGAAAATTGTGTCCTCATCTAGAATCAAAGACTACCAATAAAGAGAGATTTTTGCTATAGGGCGTGTGCACTCACTGGAGAGACAGACAGAAAGCAAGAAATCATCTCCCAGTAGAGGGGATGGCCATGCCGCAATCCCTTCTCCTCAATTCTTCTCTTGGGATTTTGGGCACATGCGTACATATGCCCGGCATGAGTTTCAAGCCACTGAGGCTGGGACTGAAACTGCTGTCAACTACATAGGAGTCCAGTGCCTTAACCACTACACCACCTGCTGGTTCCTGAGGCCTTTAAGATAGTGATCTGCAAGTATAGTTCCCGGTAATATGGGGAACGTTAATTATATTATATACATGTGATATAATATCATGCAGATGAGAAACTATGAATTTAGTCATACAAATTTTAAAAATATACAGGACCAGCAGTTAGCGTAATGGCTATGTTGCTGGACTCCCATGTAGTCGACCATGGTTTGAGTCCCGGACCCAGTGGCTTAAAACTCACGTTGGGTGCATGGGCGTGCGTGCTCAAGATCCTAAGAGGAGAATGGAGGAGAAGGGATTGCGGTGTGGCCATCCCCCCGGGGGATGATTTCTCGCTTTCTGTCTCTCTGTCTCTGATGAACGCACATGCCCTGTAGGAAAAACCTCTCAAAAAAAAAAAACAAAAACAAAAAGTTTCTTACTAAACCCCTCCTATCCACCCTCCGCTATCCACCTCCTCTCCTTTAGTGCCTGGTATTCACACTTGTCTTCTTTACCATTATATCTTCAGGTCTTTCTGTCATAGAGTGCAGCCATTTAGTATATATTGAGTGGGGACATACAGTGTTTGTCTTTCATAATCTGGCTTAGTACATCTGCTTAGCATTAAATATGTTCGTTCACTTTGTATCAAATAACAGAGTTTCATTATTTCTTATGGCTGAGTAAAATTCCATAGTGTACATGTGCCACTTTTTTCTACCAGTCATCTGTTCTTGGGCGCTTGAGTCGATCCCGTGGCTTAGCAATTGTGGATAATACTGCAGTGAATATGGATATATATCTTTCTGACCCAGTATTTTCCTATCCTTTGGGTAAATACAAAGGAGGGATTACTGTGTTAAGTGGAAGTTCTATTTGTCGGTTTTTGAGGATCTCCATATTATTTCCATAATTTCTATTTTCGTAGCTGTACCAATTTACATTTCCACCAGCAGTGTAGGAGGGTTATCTTTTCACCACAGCCTTACTAGCACTTTGTCATTCTTTATTTTCTTGATGGAGAGCCATTCTTACTGGGACAAAGTGGTATTTCATTGTGGTTTTAATTTGCATTTTCTTTATGATAAGAGATGTTGAGCATTTTTTCATAATCTTTTTGGCCATTTGTATATCTTCCTTAGAAAATTGTTAGTTCAACTCAGCTGCCCATTTTTAAAATGGGGTTCTTTTTTTTTTTTTCCTTTGAGTGAGTTGCTGGAGTTCCCTGTATATTTTGGATATTAATCCGTTATGTGAAGTATAGTGCAAGTATGTTCTCCCATTCCAAAAGTTTGTTTGTTTGTTTGTTTGTTTGTTTTGGCCCTCTTCTCCCCTCCCACCCCTAGATTTTCTTTTCACTCTAATTATTGTTTTCTTTGCTGTGCAGAAGCTTTTTAGCTTGATGTAATCCCAGTTGTCTATTTTGGGTATTATTGTCTGTATTGTCTTATTTAAGAAATCTGCCTGCTCTAGTGTCTTTAAGTGTTTCCCTTGTGTTTTCTACCAGTAGTTGTATAACTTGAAGTTTTACATTTAGATCTTTGATCCACTTTGAGTTGACTTTTGACGGGGCCATGCAGGCAACACAAGCTGGTAAGGATGCTGCCTCCCATTCTAAGGCAAGGCCTGGACTGGGAAGAAACTGAGGCAAGGCCCGGTTTACGAGCCCTCCCTTGTGTCCTTGAACTGGCCGGTATTCAATTTCTCTGCCGTGAGTTTTACTGTTATTACGGTACCCTGCAAGGGTAAAACATCACCCCCAACAATTGCAATAAAGCCAATTAGTGCTCTTGTAGGAATGTGGTTCCCTAAGACTGACAGGAGGATCAGGAAGTTTAAGACTCCCCCACCTGTCTGTTTTTAAGCCAAAATTAACATATAGATTAAGTTAGTATAAACCAAATTAGCATTAGAAGCATATGTAGACTGAGTTAGTTTAAGGTTAGTTTTACTTACATACCCCTTGTTAAAGCTACAGGCCAAAGTTAACTCACACTAGCAAAGTCAGCACATTCACCACATAACAGAGACTCAGAGATAAAACAAAAGAACTCACTAATTGACAAGACTCAACAAACAAAATGCAGGAACCCACAGATTTATTAGAGGAAAAAGCCTGGATGGGACAACAGAATAAACAAAGCTGAGGGCTCCACAGAAAGATTAACCATTTTAGCTGGGAGTTCTTATCTAAAGCAACAGGTAGCTTTCAACTACAAAGAGTTTCTCATCTATGTGCTGTTGACTATGAAAAACTGCTAATAAAACATCCTGTGTTGTCTCCGGAGCTACAAGATCATCTTCCTTTCCCATATAAGATCATAGACTCATCCTCTATTGTTGTAATGTATAGATAGTCCATATATTAACTGTGTCTTTACTTAGCAAGACAAGATTTCCATCTAGGTCATTGTAACCAGCAACGTTATCGCCCTGGCCCGGGACTGAAGTTGTCAAACATCCTGCAAGCCCCCTCTTCAAAAGACTCTTCCCAGTAATCAAGATCTAAGAAGAAGATACAGCAGACAAATGGACTTCCTCATCCTGAGAACTGTGATTGACTTTACCTGAGCTAACAAGACAAACAGCATGTTTTATAATTATTGCTTCCATGCTTTGTATACCCTGTTCCTTAGAGTAAATCTTTTACTGCCCCTCACCCATTTACTTGCATGTATCACATTTTCAATAAAAAGGCACGATGATTCCTAGCAGTTGTCACTCCTCAGAGAGCGATCTTTGAGGTGTGTCCGGCATAGGACGTGCATGAAAGCATCGAGGCCTCTGTCTTCTATTCACCTTTGCTGCCTCCGTCGAGATAACCCACCCACGCCGAGGCTGGACCCCGGCAGACTTTTGTTGATGAGAGATAGGAATCCAGTTTCATTTTTCTGGAGGTGGCTATCCAGTTCTTTCAGCTTTATTTGCAGAACAGACTTTCTTTTCTCCATTGGATTGTCTTGTGCCCTTTGTCAAAATCACTTGCCTGTATGTTTTGGGATTTATTGCTGAATTCTGTTCCATTGGTCTACACATCTGTTTTGGTGCCAGAACCATGCAGTTTTTTGGTTATCACAATTTTGTATTTTTTTTTTTAGAGTTCTTTTGGCTATAGGGTGCATGCCTTTGCTGGAGAAACAGAGAAAGACAAAGAGACAGAGGTGAGAAATCACCCCTTAGGGGAAATGGCCACACCATTATCCTTTCTCCATTCTCCTCTCAGGATTTTGGGCACACACTCACATGTGCCTGGCAAGATTTTCGAGACACTGGGTCTAGAACTTGAACTGTGGTCAACTATGTGGGAGTCCAGTGACATAACCATTACGCCATCTGCTGGTCCCTGTTTTGAGATCAGGGAGAAATGCTTCCTACTTTGTTCTTTTTGCACAGTATTGCCTTGGTATTGATACGGGGCCTTTTATGATTTCAGACAAATTGTATCATTGTTTTTTTCTATTTCCTGAAGAATATCTCTGATAATTTAATCAGGATTACATTGAATTTGTTAATTAATTTGGATAGAATTGACATTTTCATCGTATTGATTTTTCCAATCTAGAAACATAATGTCTTT